TATGCAATTAATTACTATCTTAATATCTTCTGGGTTATCTGTGAGAGGCGGTGAGCAAGCTTTTCATCACGCTCTCAACAATCGCCACAAGTAGGTGGAAATTTGTAACATTTGAGTTAACGATTTTTGAATTTAATTTGAAGGTAATCGATCTACTTTTTTCTGTAAAACATATGTTACCAACATTATAAGTTTCAGTTTAGTATTGACATCCAGCTAGTGAGGTTGTTCGTTTTAATTTCAACGTTTTATCTGTTCGAAGTACAATTTACAAGAGTGTATTTAAACGTCAAATTTTCCTCGTGTTTCTCAGCTAACTATCTCTTCACCTTTAATATCAGATGTACTTTCTGGATTTTATTTAATTGTTTTTTTTGTTTTTCTTTTGATTTGTTTTGAGTTCTATGACGATTTTTTTAGCTTATTTTAAACTTGTGTGTCTCGTTTCATAACTTCGCCAATCTAAATATTTTGTTTATCCACACATTGTTTCGAGGTTCTAATTACTTTGTTGGTTAATTAATTAACGAATTCCACGTCAACACTGCTTATGATTATTCTAAACGTATTGACTTAATCAAGTATATAAGTTTAGAAACTTTGCGGTATGTTGAGCTTTAACAACAAATCAATGAAACACTTTTAACAAAGCAATGAACAGGCACAAAAAAATAACTATATATATATATATATATACATTGTTTGTAAGTTGCTCCCTTTAGCGGCAACTCAACTATAATTTCAATAAATAAGCACAAAAATGCGAAGTTGATAAGTAAAAAAATTGGACTTTTAGAGAAAAATCACCTTTTAAAACCGTGGTAGTAATTTATTTACTTGGCGACGTTCCGAGCAAAAGTTCGTTTTCAAGCCAGAAACAAGGGGATTTTTTTCTAAAAGTCTAATTTCTTTATTTTATCATCTTCGCATTTTTCTACTTATTTATTCACTGAATTCTTACGCAACCTTTTAAACCCATACTCTTATTACCGAGTAACTGTTCTTATAAATGTATGATCACTAATTTATTTTGCTTTTACTTCTGAAGCTACGTAATGCTATGTTAAGTTATTTTGGACTTTTTTTCTTTTTTTAGTTTTCTTTTTTTTTTCAATTGACAAACAGTAGCTGAACTAGAATAGCCTTGAGAATAAAGATAAACTAAATCATCTGTGTTTAGCCCTACCCGTTTCGAAACCTGATAATTAAATGTGATTAAGTTTTCAGTGAGAAAATTACATCTTCATTGAAATTTCTTATTTTTTAAAGTGCTTTATTTGTTTTAAGCAAAGATACATAATGCACCATCTACGCCCCAGATTCAATATTGTAATTCATAAACTCACCACCAGCCACTGGAGGACTTTTCAAAGTGATAGAAGATCGTAAATATTTCCACACTTCTGTAAAATGCATAAAAAATACATTTATATACAGACATATTTTCAAAATTCTTAACTACACTCGAGAGATTGAAGAGAAAATAAGTCCATCAGACTTTTATGTAATGCCGAAATAGGATTTTGTTAGTTCCGTGACTGTTGATAAAAAACAAGAATAATTTTGTTGTTGTTGTTGTCATAAGCGTAAACGTAATATATTAATTCAAGGTGGATTCCAAAAGCATGTTACTAGAAAGACAAAAGGAAAATTATAAACATAATAGATCTCACAGCAGTTCAAATATAATACATGATAGCGTTGTGACAAAACAATAAGTTTTATGGTGAATGTGGTTTATGTAGCAATCTAAGCTCAGATCTAGTACACACATAACAAAATAAACTCTAGAACTGAAAGTATCCACTATACACAACGTTTCTGGTAAATTTATGTTATAAATGATGCTCAAAATCGCATAACGTCATGTACATATGTAATTACATTATGATTGATCCTTACTGTCATTTAAAGCCTAGAATAGAGCGATCAAGAAACTAGTGATTAGTAGCAAAAATTATATTCTCTGAGCCACTACGTAAAACATTGTATAGCTGTACAGTAATTTTCTGACAAATATAGCTTTAGATGCTTATCACAGGTTCTTTCCCTTTAAATTACGTGCCTGTGCATGTGTAGTGAATAATATATAACAATAAAATTATCATTCCATTTAACTTAATATAAGAATGGGTTTAAGTACCACTCAATCCTCAAAGTAGGTACAATCTAATATTGCTATTCATTACAATGACAATATTTAATGATTTTATTATATTATGTATTATAAAAGAAATAAATGCTCTCTGCCAAACAGTTAATTAAGTGTTTTTTGTTTATTTTTAATAAAGTGAAAGAATGTATATTTCCAGGAGGAATATGTATAAATTGCAGAACGAAAAGTAACATTAAAATACAGCCACGTTATAAATCAGAGACTGTGTGGTTCGCAAGTTCTGTTTATCACATGATTTTGAGTACTACCTTTAAACAAATGTGTATCTGCAACTCACTCTCTTCTTAACACCAGTGTAGCTGAATATTCGATTTCTAAACAATTTGCAAAACGAATTTATGGTGCATTTTGATTTAACAAATTGAGTGGCTCAACAACTTTTTTTTTATATTGTGACGTCATTGCAAAAGCGTTGCTTTGTACGTAATGCTCATCGACTAAAAATACACAATGAAAACAAAACTGATAAAAATTGCCTGTATATTATGTTACTATCAAATGATTGCATCATAAGAATATGTTCATATATATTTCCGTATCAGATATGTGATTAAATACTTAAAGAACATGGAAGAATTGCTTATAAATCAATACGCTTGTTTATATATATAACTTGTGTATTCTCACTACGGTTAAAATACTGAATGTGTATCACTAAATTTACTAGCACAATACAAAACTAACGTTATAAAATTGAATAAACATTTTCATTTCTTTCATATGTTTTAGAGGTGTTATATATTATAATTTGGTTCTTATTTTGATAACATATACTTAAATCAAATTCATAAAATAATCAACTAAACTAATTTGTTACATCAATTACAGTATTGTTAAATAGAAGGCTGTGAATATGGACAATGTATTAAGCTATTAATACTAAGAGAGGAAGTTTAATATTTAACTTTGTTTCTCAACAAACATAATAAGCAAACAGTTTAGTAGTATTCTGCATTATTTTGCTCCACGGTAAAGTTTATGACAATTTCAGTTACATTTTTCTTTATTAGCCCTTGCCCTATGTTGATTTCCGGTAAGAAGAGTAAACAATGACATTTCAACTGCACACAAAGGGTATTGCATACTGCTTTCGAAGGGCCCTTTCGTTCAATACCAGAATTTGTCTTATCGATTGAGTTTACAACACACAAAGCCAGAGTAGAAACTCTTTTTTTTATGTACAATACGTAAAGAAACCTGTCATTGATTAATGAAATTAACTACAATACTGATTGTATTTTTGTTTACTTTCCTACATCACCTTCACTGTTCAAGTGTTTTATACCAGTGTGGGAGCCGCGGCCCCGACGTTTTTTCTGGGGGGCCGCCAAAGAATTGGCCGAAAACAAAGATGCTGAATTAATTTTAATTATAAATAAACGATAAGCCGATAAAAATTACGTTGAATTAATTAAATGGTACACTATGTCAAAAGTAGATGTTATTGTTTTTACTACGGCACTGTTTTTCAATCACCATGCTAAAGTAGTGGTGGTGGGGAGGGGGAAACATTTTAAAATGACATTTTAAGGCATTTTTATAGGTTGGAGGGCCTCCAACTATTTTATTCACATCAAGTGAGCCTCAGACTCAAAGAGTTTGGGAACCACTGTTCTATACACATTATTATAAATGAATCACTTCTATCAATAGTTCCATATTCAATAAAATAATCTTACTTTTTTATAATTTAATGATTAATACTTGCAAAGATAACCCTTTTTATCAAGTTTACCGCAAATATATATATATATATATATGCTAAATCTACGTATACGTAAGATTTAGCATACTATCCCCACAGTAACACTTTTGAATTCTGATTTTTCTTTGCTTACAAGTATGGAGAGAAAAATTGTCAAATGTGTTATACTTTATAAAATTGTAAGTACTTTAACTAATGGATTCCATAACATTAGAAACATCTTAAACGCTAAAAACAAAATCTTTACAAGGTAATGGCCACAAAAGTGTTTGTGCACTCGTATTAATATATCCATTGTTTCAATCTGCTAGTCTTTCTTGCATTTCCGAGTTCATTGTTGTCTCTATTACGAAATTATTTAATCAAACATGAGCTGATAATGATGTACTTTAATTTGTTTAAATATTACTATTTCTTAATTTCTTTTTCCTTAAATATCACAAGGATTTGGTATAGTGCTCGTGAAATAGTAATGTTGGCGTTAATAGTAAACTGGCAAATAACGATTTATAAGCATAATGAAGTAATGTTATTTTGGGGAATATACTACATGTGCTTCCATATACAGGTAATGTTAATATTACTTTTAGTTCTGCTGAAGCTATTTGCCAAGTTTCATATTTCTGTTTACATTTAATTCAGGTCACTTTCTGAATTATTTCTGGAAAACGTTAAGGCACTCGACTCACAAACTGAGGATCGCGGGTTAGAATCCCTGTCCCACCAAATATGCTCGCCCCTTTCAGCCGTGGGGGCGTTATTAAGTTATAGTCAATCCCACTATTCGTTGGTAAAATAGTAGCACAAGAGTTGGCGGTGGGTGGTGATGACTAACTACCTTTATTCTAGTCTTACACTGCTAAATTAGGAACGCCTAGTGCAGATAGCCCTCATGTAGCTTTGCGCGAAATTCAAAAACAACCAAGCTTTCGGTGTATTTTGTTGCATAGTGCTAAGTTCGTGATATTAGTACAAGAATTTCAGCAGTGAATCCGTACGTTATATCGATTCATGATAGTCCTTTTCCATTCTTTAAAAGAAACACTTTTAACTTTACATATCAGCAAAATTTAAATAATTCTAGTAATCTAACCCATTGATTTGATTTTCCTCCTCCAGGATTTTTAATGGCTTCCCAACAAGAAGCAAATCGAGGCCCACGATTTTTGGAAGAACCGCCCGTTTTAGTGGAATTTGATAATAGCAGTGGTGCTGTGGTTCCATGCACTGCTGAAGGAAATCCTAACCCCCTTGTTGAATGGGTCTTGCAAGATGGTTCAAAAGCTCACGATTTAGCTGGATTACGACATTTTCAGCCAGATGGGTCTCTTGTTTTCCCCTCTTTTAGAGCAAAAGATTTCCAACAAGACGTGCACGACGCCATCTATCGATGTATTGCTTACAACACTATCGGGAAAATAAGAAGTCGGGACGTCCGAGTAAAAGCTTGTAAGTTTTTTGTTAAGTTTTGTTTCAATATTGTAAGAGACTAACTGAAGCGAAGTATGATTTGAAACAAATGTAGTGAAAAAGATCCACAAAATATTTCTACTTAAAGCAGCAGCAGTAGTGTTTAATAAGAAACAAATCATGGTTTATTCTGTTTATTACTTTCTCATTTATTTAGCTTACTTTTCCAGCTAGACAGACTTTTATAGGTGTATATTTAAAATGAACAGTAAAGTAAAGGGAATTGATGAATGACGAGCGCATATAAACTTAGAAAGCTCTACCAAACATCACCTAAGTTTGCTCAATAATTGTTCTAATACTTTGATGTCTTTTGATCTATAAATAACTTATATATGTTGCATTAACTATAGTTCGATAAAATATAATCAATGAATAAAAATTTACTTCTAAACTACTCCAAAATGTACAGTGAAATAAAAAAAATGTATTCTTGTTTTTCCTAATATGAGTACAGGAAGGAGTAAATAAAATAAATGACAAAATAAATCTAATAGGAAACCATGGTATTCATTTTTGTCTGTTGTTCTTATTCCACTTTTATTCGACTGCAGAGCCTTTTATTTACGATGTGCAACCAGAGATATATTAATTCAACCACTAATAGACTCTAATGAAAAAACACTGTAACCCTGAAACATACAACACCAGTAGTATTACCAATCACTGTGTGAACAAATGTGATGTGTCTACATCCAGTTTTTTCCGCGTAAATTTTCATTCCCGAGAATAATTCTACCTTAAAATTTTAGAATCTCTCGTCATTAAGCTTAAAAAAACGAGCTTTTAACCAGAAGATGAGCGCAGTGCTACTACATCTTCAACTGTAAAAATGTAAAGAAAGAATAGAACGTGAACTTCGATCGACGTCAGCGCAGCGAAAAACAATTTGGTTTATTAAAATGTAGCAACGAAAATTTCACCAATAACAACTACTTCAATAATTGTTTGGGTCTAAATACGTTGACATACAAATTTTTGATTTTCAATAGCTCTTATTAAACCATATTTCATTTTGTTTGTTATTGGCAGCTTAACTTGTAGAAGGTAACCTGTTCTATCTGCTTTCAACGTGTATTATATATGTGTGTCACGAGCATTAGAAAGGTTTACAATGACAATAAGAACGACGCTTGTAGCAACGTGTTTAATCATATAACGTTCCGAGCAGAAGTTCGAATTTTTGTTTAATGTAGCTTAGCAACCATCTTGTGAGAACGTGGTGACACTGCAAGTAATTTTGACAGGAAATACACCGGGAATATCTTGTGTTGTCTCTCAAATTCCTTCGTGAGATCTACTTGACTTTAGATGCCGAGTAATAAATTTCACTTATGCTCATTAGCAGAATTTCTGTGACTTGACTTTTTCCAACTATAATGTCTGTTACGTATCTCCTTCGTTTATTGATTTCTCTATATACATTGCGACGGATCAAATAAATAATAAATTTACGAACTGTCAATTTGATAAATTCGCATACCAATAGAAAACATTAAATTGATTCTGATGTTAAATGTGTACTTGTACATATAGGCCCGGCATGGCCAGGTGGTTAGGGCTCTCGACTCGCAATATGCACGTCGCGAGTTCGAATCCCCGTCCCGACAAATATGCTCGTCCTTTCAGTCGTGAGGGCGTTATGATGTGACGGTCAATCCAACCATTCGTTGGTAAAAGAGTAGCCCAAGAGTTGGCGGTGGGTGGTGATGACTAGCTGCCTTCCCTCTAGCGTAACACTGCTAGATTAGGGACGGCTAGTGCAGATAGCCTTTGTGTAGCTTTGTGCGAAATTCAAACAAACAAACTTGCACATATTTTCATTGGTCGATATACATATATATCATACTAGACCACCCGTGACCCGTTGGGTCACCCATTATTCAGAGGTTATGAAGAATTCAAGCTAATTTTAATCTTGCACCGAAATGAAGGTTTATTTTGAGATAATGTAATTGAATATCTCAATCCATTCGTGTTATTCATAATTCAAGAAAATATATTTGATTGTTGATCAGGAGTAAAAGGAAAGACCATTTCATTTTTCAAAAAAGTGAAGTCAGAGTTTTCAGGTATTGTGATG